GTCAGAGGCAGCAAAGCCATTCCGGACACAGCTAAGGAGCAAAGGAAGAAAACCTAGCTCTTTTGGGGTCTGCTCCTGCATGACACTTCCTTATCACATGTCAGCACCCAGAGCTTCAGTGTCCCTGTCACACCAGTGGGGTTTCTTCTCTCTCTCTTCTCAGCAGGGTCTTGTTTAGGAAAGACTGTGATGGAGCTGGAGAGATGCTTAGCAGTGGGCAGCGGTGTAAGAACCTGAATCAGGTTCCCAGCGCTCACCTGGGGTTGGGGGCTGGCGCTGCTCTGGGGGTGTCTGACACCACTGTCTTTTGTTTGATATGGCAGGGGTGGGGGTTTACCAGGCCTCATATGTATATACCCACACATAGACACACATAATTAATTAAAACAAGAACAACAACAAAAGCCAGTAGGATATGGTGGCACACACACCTTTAGTCGCAGCACATGGGAGGCAGAGGCAGGTGGTTCTACTTGAGGCCAACCTGTTCTCCAGAGTGAGTTCCAGGACAACCAAGGTCTACACAGAAAAATTCTGTCTCAAATAATAATAATAAAATAAAAGAAAGATTTAAAAAAATACTTTGATAAACTTGCTGCTGAATGAGGAAATGACTCAGGACAGTTCTCCAGACTGAGTCTCTGAGCCATTTGCATTTCAAAAGCTGTCAGCCCTTAAATCTGAAGTGCTACAGTCTTCGAGCAATTTCGGTTGCTAATGAGAGCAGCAAAAGGCTTTGCCTAGACCGAGCTTGTGGCTTTCATGTCCGTGTCATCTAAGTAGAACTAGTAGAAACTAACCATGTTCCCCTGCTCACACCTCGGTTCCCTTGTTCCCTCACTCGGCACTAGACAGCTGCTTACTTGGGACCCTCTGGGCTCTCGGAGCTAGAACCTTTGCAGTTATTGGTCGGGTTGGTTTTGGAGTCAACACACTTGGCTGAACAGAAAAATATTCTTTCTCTCTCTCTCTGACAGAGTCTCACGTGGCCCACGTGGGCTTGTACTTAGCCAAGAATGACCTTGAACTTTGGGTCTTTCTGCTTCCAGAGCTGGGGACTGCAGGTGTATGCTAGGAAGTCCGGTTTTTATCAGGTGCTAGGGATTGAACTCAGGCTTCGCTAATGCTAGTGAGTACTCTACCTCCGGAGCTACACGCTCAGTGTCTCTACTCGGGCTAGCTGTGAAGGTTTTCAGCTAGGAGGAAGCCACTGCATCAAAGTCCAGGTGGGATGCAGTGTTCTTCCGCCTCAGCCTTCATCAGGCACCCTCTAGTGGCACCAGGAACGATGCAGGTGCTCTGCAGATTGTAGTATCTGTCTTCTGAGGCCCCAGCATCCCCCTCCAGGTCACAGTTCTGATCTAGCTACTCAAGAATTCCACTTGTGGGGCGTGCAAGCTAGATCTGCAGGAAAACGCACTTTGCACACGAGTCTGGCAACCTGAGTTCCTCTCCAGAACCCAGGTTCAAGTGAACAGGGAAAGTCAAGTGTGGCAGTCCACACCTTTAATTCTAGCACTTGGAGGCAGGGGAGAGGCAGATCTCTGTGAGTTCAAAGCCATCCTGGTCTACACAACAAGTTCTAGAACAGCCAGGGCTCCATAGAGAGACCCTGTCTTTAAAAAAAAAAAAAAAGTGTACGATGAGAACTGATTCTACAAAGTTGTCCTCATTGTCCCCTGACCTCCACGTAAAGCTGTGACTAATGTGGGAGCCCCCTCTGTATGCTGTGATTATCACTGATAAATAAAGAAATTGCTTTGGGCCTATAGCAGACGTATAGGGGAACAGAGATAGGCAGGGAAAACTAAGCTGAATGCTGAGAGAAAGGAGGTGGAGTCAGAGAGAAGCCATGTAGCCCTACCATAGACAGATGCCAGAACTTTAGCCAGTAAGCCACAACCACATGACGATACACAGATTAATAGAAATGGGTTAAATTAATATGTAAGAGTTAGCCAATAAGAAGCTAGAACTAATGGGCTAATGGGCCAAGCAGTGATCTAAATAATATGGTTTCTGTGTGATTATTTTGGTTTTGGGTGGCTGGGACAAACAAGAAGCCCCCTCCAACATGTGACGTGCAGGCTTTGGGCCTTGCCGTGTAGATCAGGCTCGGACTCACGGACCTCATAGAGATCTGCTTGTTCCATCTCCTGAGTGCTGTGATTAAAGGCATGCACCACCACACCTGACTTCCACCTCGTTTTCACAGCCAGGTCTCGCACCGAACCTAGAGTTTGCCATTTCAGATCTGGACAGCAAGCGCGCGGCCTCTGCTTCTCCCTGCCCACCCTCCTCCCTCCTCCTGGGGCTGAGACGATAGACACACGCCTCTGCCCCTGGCTTTTATGTGGGTGATGAGGGTCTGAACTGGAGTGGTCGGGCTTGTGCCATAAGCCTCTTACCAACTAAGCCATTTCTCCGGGTTCCAGCCTTAAATCCTGAGCCTGTCTTCTTACGGCTGTTTGGGCTCCTAGCTACAGATGTGCAGAGCATGCCTCTTCTATCCCCTCTCAGGCACCAGGGGCTGCTGCCAAGACTTTAATGACACCCCTTGCTGTCAGCCCTCTACTTCTCTTGTCAGTGCTGAGTGTTCCATGAAGTTCATGCAACACTGCCATAATCCGTCTGTTTACCTCCCGAGACAGGAAATTTGGTGTGATTTGCTCTTACATCGGCTCCTAATGAACATTGGATTATTTTCATTTTCTTTTTCTGGCCCCCCTCTCCCCGGAAATTTGTGTTTGTTTTCCTGAGCTGGAGCTCAAACCTTGAGTCCGAGGCATGCCAGGCAAGAGCTTGATTGCTGAGCCCCAGCCCCAGCCCCAGCCCCAGCTCCAAAAGTATTCTTCTTATTCTCATCATTCTGTTTATAGTTCTTAAAAGACGTGCATGGTTCCAAGCACCACAAAAGACAGAGGGAAAGTCTGAACAGGAACACCCTGGGATACACCTGCTGGAACAATGTGTTTAATTGTGCTACACCGTAGTCCCTTAGCCCAGAGATGTCAGCCGGGGCAATGGGTTCCTCAACTTGCCGGTGCCCCATCCTGCCTGCACCTAGGGTCTCTCTGCTTTGTTTTTTGAAGCCATAGCAGGAACAACCCAGAACTTATGGAGTGGAATAACCTTCAACCAGTAGAGAGAGGCAAGCAGCAACTAGAGCCTAGTCTCATTTAGCCCAGGCTGGCCTTGAACTTGCTAGGTAGCCTCTGCCTTCCAAATGCTGGGATTACAGGTATTCACTAGCAAAGTCTAGTTAAGGAGTTGCTGAAGGATAGAACCCAGAGCGTCCCTCATGCTAGCCAAGCACACTACCAACTGGCCTATGCCCCCAGCTCCTCTTCTTTTTGCTCTCTCTCCCTCATGCCTCATCTCTGCTTCCCTGAGGTAACTCCCAAATGAACTCCCTATTCCTAAATCCTTGTCTTACAGGAGGCCAGGGAATCCAAAGAAGATGGTAGTGACTCCTGTATATGAATTTCATTAATAGCTAGATAGAGATAATAAAACTATGTAACTTTGCATAAGGGGATTATTCTGCATGTATTCTAAACTCAGCTTTCTAATACTCTACTGTGTTCACAATATAAAATCACTTAACGATCAGTCCACAGAAGACGATGAATACATTTCCATGTCAATAAATAGAATCATAAGCACAGTCTGTCTCCCCAGCTCCCCGTGTCAGGGACTGAACTCACGGCTTCTTGTGCCATTAGCCCAGCCCCCGGCTCATAAGTGCCTTCTCTAACGATGCCACTGCAAGTACACCTTTGACTTCATTTATTTAGTTTGCAGTGTCTAAGTGAACACACGCAGACTTTGGTAGACGTGCAGAATGGCTTCCTCTGCATAACACCGAAGCTGTGCTCTGGCTTTCTCGTCTCTCAAATGTTCACTCTGCGTTCAGTAATTTTCTCTGGCATACTAAGAGGCGAGCATTTCACTCAAGCAGTTCCGTGGGTTTCAGAAATTATCTTTCCATCTTTTTTGAAAATCAGGACAGGTGCCCATCTTCGGGGCTTTTTTTTTTTTTTCATTTGCTGTAATTTCCTCTACAGCGATGATTATATCTGCAACTGCCTCTGGGTCCCTGGGATGCCATGTGTCCAGGTTTTGAAGGGTGAGCTTGCTTGTTTTCTGTCCACCCCCCGCCCCCAGAGTTTTAATCCTCTTCCTCTCAGGTCAGTCAGAAGCCCCAAAGCCCCCAGCCCTGAGCAGCTCTTGCCTCTTCCCAGCACTCATTGCGCTCTCTCTCTCTCTCTCTCTCTCTCTCTCGTTGGGGACTGTGGACCCCCAGACCCTGAATTTCCTGTGACTGTGACCCCCTGCCTGCTGGAGTAAACACCTTGTTTTCCTACGCTTGCAGCTGCTCTGAGCAAACAACTTGTTCTGCAGCTGTTCTGAGCACGAGACCCTCAGGAGTTCCTGATGGCAGGGGAGTGGTTTCTGGTGGGCTTGCAGCTGAGAGTTAGGACGTGGACATTAGTCAAGAGCCCCTATATAAGTTGTTCTGGAACACAACAAAGTGGACATTCTTGGCGTTACCCGTGTCTTTGTGTGTGTGTGTGTGTGTGTGTATGTGTGTGTGTGTGTGTGTGTTTCAATCTTCAGGTCCTTGAACAACTCGCGTACTGTAGCGTGTAGAGCAGGCATGGTACGCTATCTCTTTTTCTGTTCTCTCTCTCTCTCCCTCCTCCCCTCTCTGTCTCTCTGTCTCTGTCTTTCTCTCTCTCTCTCCCTCATCTGCCTCTGCTTCCCGAGTGCTGGGTTTAAAGACGTGCATCACTGCCCGGCTAGTAAGTGCTCTTAACCACTGAGCCATCTATCTCTCTAACCCTTAACCTTGAACTCTTGATCTTTCTGTCCGAGCATCCCATGCCTGTACCACTAGGTCCAGTTTTCCTTAACTCAGCGTCAACACACAGCAGGCTCTGACCTCTGCTGGCCTCTCCACGATCTTGAACAGCTCCACTTTCCCTCTGGCCACTTACACATCCTCTTTTCCAACCCTGGGCCTTTGCTCTTCTCCTCCTCCCTATTGTTGGGCCAAAATGATCTCAGGGCCTGTACCTCGAGGCCTGTAGAACAGAGAAAAGACTGGCTCAAAGTTTGAGTGGGGATAAGACAGCAAAAACTACATAAAGGCCCCTCCAGCCAGGGGGAGGGTTTAGCTGCCTCTCATTGGCTGGAGGTACCCTTACATCACAGGATGTCGCTTACCCTTTATAAGCAAATGCTCACAGTATAAACTGAGTTCCTCTTTGACTCAACTCCCTGTTGTGTCCGGTTGTCCTGCATCATGGGGCTGTGGGAATGGGCCAGTAGCGCACCCACCTTTCCCTGGGGAATAAGGAAGCTCAAGGAAGCCTAGCACCCATCTGCGCTCGAAAGTCTTCCTGGTGAAGCCAAACCTGACCATACCGGTCCGTCCATTGTGTTCTTGAATCTGCCAATGATTTATTTAAGGGTTTGCTGTCTTTCCCCCTGTGCTTAAGAGTCCTCTTCTGGACTGTAGGGCTCTTATTGGGAAGTGTCTCCAGTGTCTCTGGTATCTTGTCAGTGCCTGGTTCTGGTAAACAGTTCAATAAACAACCAGTAATAATAGGACAGATCAATAGGTAGAGGAAATTTCCAGAAACCTTTCAGGCTGGATCCTCGCCTGCCTCCCATACTCCCTTTGCTCAACCCTCAAATGAGCTCATTACCTAGTGTCTGTCCCTGTGAGGTGTCTGGAGTGACCTTACCCACTTCTAATGTGTCAACGCTTGGGTATACATCCCAAGACTTAACCCAGCACTGCACAATCCCAGGAGAAAACCTTTCTAGTCCTGTCAATCTCCCCTGACCCAGTGCCCTCACAGCTCCGCCAGCCTGAACCCCACACCAGCAGCCGGAACCTCATTAACACTCTTCACTCAGCCTTTCTGGGACCTGCCAGCTGCCCCTACGATTACATTCTGTGAACTCTTCGTCCGCTGAACCCAATTACATTCCCCAATTGGATGCGTTTCCCAGAAGCTTCTGGACATAATGATGGCTGCCTCTCAGATACCCTGAAGAGCTTAGGAGATCACACCTGCACCAGCAAAAGCTGGGCGACAGAGGTCAGAGCGCAGTCTCTCAAAGTGTGGTTGTTCACTGCCAGTATCACAGGGAACTCCTCAGAGAGTCCCGGCCTTTTCCCTGACTCAGAGAACCAGAAACCAGAGGGGCGGGGGAATCAATAATCAAGACAGGGTTTCTCTGTATAGCCCTAGCTGCCTCGGAATTCGCTCTGTAGACCAGGCTGGCCTCGAACTCACTGATATCCACCTGATTCTGCCTCCTGAGTGCTGGGATTAAAGGCGTGCACCACCACTGCCCGGCCTTAACAATCTGTTTTACTTATTTATTTTTCATCCCAAGAAAAAAAGTAACTTATTTTTATCTTGTGTGTAAGAGCGCTTTGCCTGCATGTATTTCTGTGCACCATGTATGTGCCTGGTGCCAGAGCAAGCCAGAAGAGGGTGCCAGATCCCCAGGAGCCGGAGTTACAGATGGTTGTGAGTCACCATGTGAACGTTAGGAACTGAACCAGGTCCTCTGCAAGAGCAACAAGTGCTCTCAACCACTGAGCCATCTCTCCAGTCTCCCTCTCTGTTATCTGTTATTTTTCTTTTTGTGTGTGCATGTGTTCATGTGTGTATGCACGTTCACATACGTATGTATATGAGTTTGGAAGCCAGAGGTCAATGCCAGGTGCCGTCATCAACTGCTATGTACTCTCACTGAACCTGGAGCTTGCCAGTTTGGCTAGCTTTGTTGGCCAGCAGGTCGTGGGAATCCTCCTGTCCTTGGCATGCAGTGCATGCCACCTCCCCTGGCTTTTTGACATGGTTTCGGGGGCAAGGTATGACTCAGGTCCCCCTCGTGCTTGTAGCAAGCACTTTACCTGTTGAACCATCTCTGCAGTCCTTATTTTTGCTATTTTGCAGTGCCGAGAATTGAACCTAGAGCCTCATGCTTGCTAGGCTCTATCACTGGGTCCCACCTCCCAGCCATCTGTTTTAAATTCTAAAGCATTAGATAGGATAGAGTACTTGCCTATCCATGCACAGGGCCCTGGGTTCAATCTCCAGCACTGTCAAGTCAAAACAAACAAACAAAAAAATGAAAGCAAGCCCCGGGTAGGGTAGATCATGTTACTCCTAGGAACCAGATCCCTTTTACTACAATAGACAGAGGTCAGAGGTCAAGTTCCCTTGATGCAGGTTACTCTAAGGGCAGCCTAGTAGCAGCGAAAGACCTGTGAACAGGAAGCAAAGTCCAAATGAAGGAACCTGGCCCAGGCCGAGTCTAGGTGTGCCCCAGAGTACACAGTCTTCTTACCAGCGATAGTATCATTGGCGCCACCTTCTGGTTTGTCCTGGTAACACAAGGGAGTTCAACCCCAGACCCACTTCTGAGAGCCTATTGGTGAACCCTGACACTGGAACCGCTGAAGAATAACCAATAACCACTCTAGGGGCTGCCAAAGGCACAGAGCACAACACAAGACATATGGCTAATAACCACACGAAACAAAAAGTTCAGACTCATTGGCAACGTGAGAGATGCCCTTTAAAAAAGAACTCGGCGTAACCTTTTCATCAGTCAGATTGGCAAAGGCAGAGGCACTCTGAGAGGTTCGAGTGCGGCTGCGCACAGCCGGGGCGGTGCGCCAGTCAGGGAGCCTTCGGACTGAGGCAGACGTGGCCAGTGCCCCAACAAGTGACTAACTCCCAGACCTGCCACTCCACTCGGAGAGGGGGGTTGCCACGATGTTTAGAAGGAGGAGGTCCGGTGGCGTGAGGAAAATATTGACCTCGGGTTGTAATGGTCACGAAACAGTATAAACACGCACTATTAATCTCTATTCCATATCAAATGTTTGTATGAAAACTGCAGATGACTTTCTATTTTGACTGACAGTATTTGTCCACAGGGGGTGGCATTTATTCAGAAGATTTTTTTTTTTGGCTCCCTTCATTCCAAGTTTTTATTTTGACTTCTCTGATCACAGGGAAATGGAAACAGGAGATAAAATTCTGTTGATGCCAATGGCTCTCCAACTCATGCCCCGCCACTCTGCTTTTCAGGAGGCATTTCTTCTACCCCCCTCCCCACGCGGGTCAGATCTGAAGATGGCATTTGGGAACGCTTCTTCTAAAAGCTCCTCTGATGAGTCCCATATGATTTGAGAGCCACCGACTTGTGCCGTCCCTGCCCTCGAGCACCAAGCTTTAGTGAGGCTTAACACTTGGGGGTCACCAAAGTCTTTGATGTACTTTGATGCATTTTTGCAGAGGCTTTCTAGGGCTTTCTCTTGATCTGGCATGAAATGCTTCCAGTCCAGGAGGCAATTATGGTCTCTGAATGTGTTGGATCCTCTCTAAACAGAGTACACTCTTTCAGGGGAACGTGGGCACGGACAGGTGCCAACTTCTCTATATCCACTGCCTGCCTTTTTCCCTGCATGCAGCCTTTGAGGGGCTGTCAATCAGAAGTCTGCACCCATCCCTGGCCAAATGACAGCCAATGAGAATTAGTTTGCAACTTAAGTTGATTGTCTTGCGCCTCTGAGAAGGGTAACAGAGTCCAGGTTCAACACCCCATGGATAGCGTCAGGTAGGAAGAACTGTTTACAGGAGCCTTTGCGGTTTCTGTCCCCACATTCCATAGCCTCTCAACAGGCCGTGTGCTCTTCCATGGGGACAATGCCGTAAGGACAATGATTAGGGATCAGAGAACTGGGCCTGAGAGCTGGCACCCAGTGACTGCCAATCATCCATTTTAAGAGAACTCGGGGGAACAGCAACCTGGCTTGAAGAGGAGGCTTGGGACTTTATCTTACAGCTAATTAAAAAATGCTTCTTAGGCCAGACAGTGTGGGCACACCTTTAATCCCAGCACTCTAGAGACAGGCAGGCGGATCTCTCTGTGAGTTCAAGGCCAGTCTGGTCTACAGAGGGAGTTCTAAGGCAGCCAGGGCTACAGAGAGAACCCCCATCTCAAAAAAAAAAAAAAAAAAAAAAAAAAGAAAGAAAACTGCTTCTTACATTTTATTTAGTGTATGTTCTATTTAGTAGTGTATGTTTTATTTAGTATGTTCTCCAGGGCCTTGTGCACTTCTGGAGGTCAGACAACCACTTGTGGGGGATCAGTTCTCTCCTACCAGGTAGGTTTGGGGGAATCAAACTCAGGTTATCAAGCCTGGTAGCAGAGGCCTTTACTAGCTGAGTTATGCTGGGTGGTTTTACATCAACCTGACCCAAATTAAAGTTATCCGAAAGAAGGGAACCTCAAGTGAAAATGTCTCCATGAGATCCACTATAGAGCGTTTTCTCAATTAGTGATTGATGGGGAGGGGGAGGGAGAGGGAGAGAGGGAACAGGACAGTCCATGGTGGATGGTGCCAGCCCTGCTGATGGTTTACAGAACCCAGGCTGAGCAAGCCACGGGGAACGAGTCATTCAACAGCACTTCTCCATGGGCCTCTGCATCAGTTCCTGCCTTCGGGTTCCAGCCACATTCCTGTCCTGACTTCCTTCAGTGATAGACTACAATGCAGAAGTATAAGCCAACTCGCTTCTTGGTCATGGCGCTTTGTTGCAGTAACAGAAACCCTAAGTCGCCAGTGTATAGTTGTTTTTATGAAAGTTTAAGTAGCCAAGCTAGCCTTGAACTCTCAAGTGAGGTCAAGGATGACCTTGAACTTCTAACTGCCCCGTTAATGGTGGTGGGAGTGACCAAACCTAGGGCTTTAGGTATGCTAAGCTGGTACTGTACCAACTGGACCATGCCCCCAGGCTTGCTTCTTTTTTTTTTCTTATTTATTTATTTATTTATTTATTTATTTATTATGTATACAATATTCTGTCTGTGTGTATGCCTGAAGGCCAGAAGAGGGTGCCAGACCTCTTTACAGATGGTTGTGAGCCACCATGTGGTTACTGGGAATTGAACTCAGGACCTTTGGAAGAGCAGGCAATGCTCTTAACCACTGAGCCATCTCTCCAGCTCCCCAGGCTTGCTTCTTTTTGTTTGTTTAGGACAGGGTCTCACTATGTAGCTCTGGTTGGCCTGGAACTCCTTGTGCAGACCAGGTTGACCTCAGACTCACAAAGATCTGCCTGGAATCAAAGGCATACTATATCATGGCTTGCTTCTTGATGACATTCGTTGCCTTCCAGGAAGCACAGAGGGCCACACTGATGGGCAGTTTCTTGGATTTAGTCCGAAGTGAGTCAGCCCTGGCTACGGTTGCTCAGGAGAGTGGCAGGAGGATGTGCAGGAATCGTGTTGCCTCTCTTACAGACAGAACAAATGCCCACATTCTCCAGCCCTCCCTCTCCATTGCAATCTGGCTCTTCCCCTCTGATCTTTGCAATCCCTGTCCAT